GGCGGGGTGCGGGCGAGCAGCTCGTGGGAACAAGCAGGGCGACTTATTGATTATGCGGGTTCATGAGGAGGAATCGCCTTACGTCCCGCTCAACCGACCGTCAGATAGAGTGGGGCGGGGGCCCATTAGAAAGGGAAGCGAGGAGAGGACAGTAAGGCCCCGCTTCACTCCGCCCCTCTCCGCCCCGCCCCGCTCAGCCCCGGGACCAGCCGCCGTTTGGCGCCCAGCCAATGTTACACATTTCGAAGACAAGCTTGTTTGACGTTCCTCCTGCCATTGAGCGTCGCAAAGACCTCGCAGACGCGCGTCGTCGGCAAATGATGGGGGGTCCCCCTCCCGGCCCTGCGCGAGACACGCCGAGCCACCCTTAGCGCCTCACCCGGCCCCCGACCTCGCGACCCCGGGCGTCACAATCCAATGCCCGTGTGTTTTTGTTTCCCGTATCCTCTGGAATTTTCTTTTCGTTTCAAATTTCAGGACCGACCGCGTGGCAACCGCCGGCCCCCGCGCGACTGCTTTATTTGCCTTTGGTGGTGTGGCAGGAGCAGGAGGAGCGAGGAGGGCGAGGGAGATGATCGTCCTCGCAGGAGGAAAAACGTTTCACAAATCAGCCGACGGAATAATTCACAGTTAACATTAATTGGTGGCGGGAATGCCCGTGCCGCTCGCAGCCGCGTCGGCTCCTCGCCGCCTCGCGGGGAGAAGGGCCGGCACGGCGGCGGGGCGAGGCGGGCGCGGCCGCGTAGGGGCGCGACGGAACCGCGACGGAAACGTGCTCCCCTCCGTGGACCTGCCTCCCTGCTTTCGATGGTCTCTACACTCGTCTCTACACAAACCAAAAGTTAAGAGATCGTCCAGAAAGTACGTCCGTTTTCGTCTGATTCCTTCGGCAAACTACGAGGGAGCTTGGCGCCTGCGAGGCTCAGGGTAGGCCGCCCCGCAGTACATGCATGCACTGCACGAGAGATGTTGCCTACCTACTTCGCACTGCTAGATCTTGGTAGTAAGGCTAAACTTAGCAGGTTCGTAACGGACAATTGGCGGACGTACTTTCTGAGGATGACCCCTAACAACACAAAGGTTACGAAATAAATGGATATGTCGAACAGAACTCACCGCGTCGCACACGTCCCACAGGCGCACTAAAGTCGGGCGGCAACCCTACCCTTTCTTCCACCCAGGAAGGGGGACGGAAGGGGTCGTCTTATTTTAGTGACTTACGTAAAGCACGGCTTGCTTGGCGTTCCCGTGCCCTGCTGGACAGGCCGGGCTGTTCGTTCCCTTCCTTCGCGCGCTCTCTTGCGCCTTTGCCTTTGCGTTCCAGCGGGCTGACCAACCAGCCGCCCGGCGTCAGTATTTATGGCCCAAGTTGGTAATTCTGGCTGCAGCACATACTGCCGCTGCTGCACTCTCGGCCGCCCTCCTGCGCCCTTTCCTTCCCCGCCCCACCCCGCCCTGCCCCACCGCGACCGCACATTGCCGGTCAGTGTAGGGTGGCGCGGAGGCAAGCGCCCGGCCAGCCAGAGAGGTGAAATAGGAGAAAAGGGTTAAAGGAGAGGGCGAGAGAGAGAGCGAGAGAGAGACGAGAGAAGAAGACTAAGATGCGCCACGCCTCTTGAATCAAAACCGTGGCGCGGCGTGGTGGAGCGGCGCGTCCTCGCACTCTTCACCTTATCCGCGCCGCTCACCGCCGCTCACCGCCGCCGGACCCTTGCTCACCGGCATGAGTCACTTCTCGATACGCTCCGTCCGCGGCGAGCCGAGCTAAGCCGAAGCCGGTCGGCGGTAAAAATAAACTGGAGAATAATGATTGTGCGTGCTGGAAGTGGCTATGGAGGGGCAACGAGCGAGAGGCAGCGAGCAGTGGCGCGGTGCAAGAGCATCGCGGGGCCAGGACGGGTTCATATTGAAACCGGGCGCACATTAGCAGTCGGGTATTCTACCGAATCCCTGGCCCGGAAGTAAGAGATAAAATGGAAGAAAAAAACAAAACGGAACGGAACAATCAGCTATTTAAATCGATACGTCGTAGTATACAAAATTTGCGTGCCGCCATTAAAATAATTTAAAAAAGAAAATAAAAAAATTTAAAATGTTCATTTTTTTATACTGGTGCGGGACGCATTCAACTGCTAGTCTCGTTTTTTTGTGATTATATTTTACTTGTTACTTCCGACGCAGCGACTCAGTGAAACACCCTTTCGAAGCTTGGCGCGGCTGGCGCACATTATCAATAAGCTCTCATCTCCATCGTGGCCCGCCGAGCGCCGCCGCCGCCGCCGCCGGGTCGGGTCGGGTAACCCATCCCGGTCTGATTCAAGTTTAAATTTGCGCGGCGATCTTATCAGCTCGATGGGTGCGCTCCTTTGGAGGGCAGGGCAACAGCAGTCAAGGTCTATCGCAGGGTCCATAGAGCACCCCTCCGCCGGCGTGCGGAGGCCGTGGCGTGGCTCTGCGGGCGGCTGGAGGTTGCGCCAAATCGCTACCCATTGCGTCACACTCGAACATCCCGCCGCCGCCGTCGTACAAGTTCAGACTCGCTCGCTCGCCGGGTACCCGCGCCGCGCGCGCCAGACCCGTGGGACCCACGGAGCGCGCCTCCCGCCCAGCCTCCCGACCGCCCCG